TATTTGAGCAATATGTATTACTATAATGGCCAAGATGTAGGAGAAAATTGACAAAATGGCATGCTGAAGGAAAGGGAGAAAGGGATAGCATTAGAAGATATTGACTGGATTGCATTTGGGAAATTGTACAATGCTTTTATTGACCCCAATGTTCTCTTGAAATAAACTCCCATATTTTTTAACACCATCATTCTTCTGTTAATGTTATATAGCTGTGGATCGCAGAACACTCCAGTCTCCAAAGAAGTAAATATCTAGCTTATTCAAAGATCAATAGAAGGATCCATGATGTCTATGAATAGGCCATCACATATTACCTCGATAGAATTGCCCACCAGAAATAACATAAAGAATTTCCACAAGGAGATACATAGCCAGAAGAAGTGAGCTAGCCATGTACCAAGAACAGAAGATAATTTATGGGCAGCTCCCGTACCACAATGATTGCCGTTATATATTGACTCACGAAAGAAAGATCCTCAAAAAGTCAAGTAAATACCCTGGGGAGGATTTATGGGACAATATGGGTGAAAAGAAATGATTGAGTTATCATGTTCTACACCATCAGAATGAGTACCCAGCAATGAAATCATAGATCCATCAGCATGTTAAAGGAACAGAATATACATAAAATAAATAAGATAATAATAATGATATTAAATTTCCTGAGTCCTCAAGTATTGTAAGAAAAATTTAGATAGCATATAATAAAAGAACTTCTCATAGTAAGACAGTTCATAAAGTCAAAGGGTTTATCTGGCAGGAAGCTAAAATGATTTTTCCAAAATTTTGTTAAAAATAAGATGGACATGGGGCTGACCTTATATGTAGATGAAGTAGGTAGGGGTAGTACAGTCCTTGAAATTTTTACCATTGCAATCATCTCCTTTGTTTTGTGTCATTGTTTCCAGAAAGTCCTTTGTTAAGATGCAATCATATACCTAAAAGGAGCATCACATAAAGCTCCATTAGCAGAGAGGAAATGAGACACCAGATAAATAAACTGTGTGACTAAAGAAGCAGAAAAATGAGTGAGCCCTGGGCAATCAGAAGAGAGCTTGAAGGCAATGGGTAGTGCCTCAAACTGGGAGATGACACCCAAAAAGTCAAGGCAAAAGAGTGATCAGGGAAGGGATGCCAAAGACAAACTTCAACTAGTGAGTTCTTTTATCTAGAGCTCGTCCTGAATTGATACCCACTTAGTTTCCGATTTCTTTCCACTGAAGTCAAATGCTCTGATGCTATAATTAAATCTTCCAAGTCTCTTCTAGCCCTGCCATTCTAGTATTCAGATATAAAAATAAACACTCATTTCCCTTACAAGTATCACCGATTAAAATAGCAAAACAACAGGCAGACTATAAAGAGCATATTGATAGCAAAAGAATTTGCCCAGGGAAAATGTACCTGGCAACAAAAATAATAAAGGGTTATTACATGTCCAGTTGCATTACTGTAAGGCAATTGCCTTCTTACTGATGGAGAACTATCAGCGTTAGAAGGATTTTAGAGGGTCCATTTTGAGAAAGTATTTGAAGAAAAAGAGATATTTGGAAAATGAGGGGGAAATATGAGATAAGTAAAATGCACCATATAGAGCATATTATTACCATTTAGATACTAGTCCATAAGAGGGGTACACACACACACACAGAAGATATATACATATATATATATATATATATATGTATGTATACGCATCCATATGAATTATATTTTGATATATAGAAGATACATGTGTGTGTAAATATATCTTCCAGGTCTTGGTAGCATGACACATAGCTAATACTGTGTTTGGGAATGGTAATAGTTTGTGTGTCTGTGAAAGAGAGGGAGGAAGGGAGGAAGAAGTGGAGGCAGAGACAGAGAGAGAAGAAAGAGAAGGGAGAATCTGAAAGAGAGAATCAGAGAGAGGGAGAGAGGGAGGGAGGGGAGGGGGTAGAACAAATAGTTCGTCTGAATCATCTTAAAAAACATATAAAAGGCTCCAAAATCTCAGTTGCTTTTTTATATCAATTTTTCAGTTATTTTTTTTTAAATCTTAATTTTTCATCTCAAGCTGTGAAGCATCTCTTATGACCAGCCCTTTTTAGTGATGAATGTATCCTCTGAGGAATTACATACTTCGTGATGTAAATTCTGCAAATATGCTTATATTTACTTAATGAAATATCACAACCAACATACCAAATGTTATGTTTTGTACCCACAAGATTCTAGGAGAGTAACCCACTACTTTATCTCAGAATTTTTACTTTTGCCATTGCCTTTATCAGTTGAGGAAAAGTGAAACTTATGTGACTGTTTTAATTCAATGATGATTTCAACTGAATATGCCTTGTGACAAAGCTTACATTTGATTTTTGTCAGTCATCCCAGACTACTTTCTTCCACTGTTGCCTTGAGAGTTCACATAGGAGAAGTACAAGGAGGTAATTACATACAAAGACTTTAACTGCTAAACCAGTGTTCAAACAAACCCATTAAATCGCATCAACAATAAAGACCAGTGAAACAAAGAGATTGCAGTGTTTCATTTCAACCTGACATTCTCAAGAGAGCAGAAAGCACAAGGCAAACCCAGAAGTACTTATCTATTCCCTGAGCTGTGTGGAGAAAGTTCACAGGAAGCAGTTAAAGACACAGTAACTATGGCCTGCATTCAACTGATTTTCTTTGGGACTTCACTGTTTTGTGCTGTTACATAGTGTTTTTGAGAAAAGCTTAATACTGTAGAATCCAGATGTAATGAAGATTAGTTATAAAATTAACTCTTCCTTCCACGGGTGATTTAAGAAGTGCCTAACTCAGAAAAGCATTCATTTATGAACATTCTGGTAAGGCTGGCAGGGTCCCAGAGGTATAGGAGCTGTTCACTGCCATGTAAGCAGTAAGTGTCCCTGCTGGATCCTGGCCCACTCTAGGGACCATTAAGAGTAGGAAAGACTACAAGGAGACGCTTAAAATTGGTCTTAGGAAGTAAAGAATGTTGTGACATGATTCTAGCTGTTCAAGTTGGCTGTGTGAAACAGCTGCTTTCAGAGAGAACTCTATATATTGTTTTACTACTCAGAGGGTAAATGATATATTGTCAAAGCAGAAAAACCGGTGCCTAAAATCTATCTATTTCTCTTCCCCTCTCCACTACAATCAAGTCATTGTATCATTTGAACCAAAGCTTTCTTTCCCATCACCACTGTGCTCCCTTCAGGGTATCTGACTACTCCTGTGGTTCCCCTGACTTAGGACTTAACTCATTTGAGTTTTCAGAAGACACTTGATCACACTTTGGGATCACTGATTTTGCTCTTCAAATCACTCAGAGTACATGGTATTTGTTCCTACATCTGTATATATATACAATTCTCAATGGCAGGCTCTTGTGAAAATGTGACTATGTCATAGCTTTATACAGTTCAGGTTCTTGTTACCTTAGAGATTGCCTCTCTCCACATGACAAATGAGATCACCCAAAACATGCTTGCTCTTAAGATTTGAGTTACAAGAGACAAGGCATTTTCCACAGAGAGCCATTAAGTTTGGAATTCCCTTTCCCTGGTCTGACATAGCCCAGGGGTATTGGCCTTCTGGGTTGGTAAAAACCACATCAAGTGAGGTTAGCTTTCCTTGATTAGTGATAATCCTATTGGGCAGGAAGAAACTACTAATTTGGCTTTAAATTATAAGTAGTTTATGATTTTGTCTTTTTTTTATATCCATGTCCCTTAAGACATGTTTATTTTAATCTTTAAAAAAATTGAGATAGTAATTTACAATTTTTTTTTGTTTCTATGTTCTTACATCATGTCACAAATAGTGTGAGGCAGAAGAGTTCTGTAGGGAAGTATTTCTTTTTACCTTGCATAAACTATTTTGTAGTAATTGATCAACTGTATAGGCAAGCTGATCTTCTAAGCACTCACAGTGATTCTATGGTCACCAGAGACTAGTAAGTTACGTCCCTAGAATTACTAACACTTTTTTAGAGAACACTGTTGACAAGAACAAAAATTAACCTTTGTTGATATACCCTTTCAGTCTTGGAAAACTTTGTCATTATTTCTCCTTTGGAAGTATGTGCTATTCTTTGTTGTATCATACAAACTGTATGTTTCTTAATGGGATTTGTCCAATGAATTCCATTTACCTCCACTACTTGATTCTGCCTCTCCAAAGCATTTGCCCATTTTCACCTGAACTGTCTAACTTTGGGCATTTTGAGAAGTTGCATTGTAATTATGCTTAAGGTAACTTAGTTTGTGTCCATTGCATCTCCCCCAAATGGCCTAGAAGCTTATTCAAGATAGGGACCATGTTTTCTGTGTCTCTTCTAGGCCACGATGGTACTTGAGATAGTACTTTGTAAATAACAGGTGCCTAGTAGGAGATATTCATGTCACAGCACAGAATTTTAAACTGCTCTTCTGTTATTATCTTTTCTTCCTTTCTCCCTTGGTATGCTTGTAGGGCTTTTTGGGAAATGGGAAAATAACAAAGAAGTATTATCCCAATACTTCATTTCCCAGATTTTCTTTTTATGTACGTTGAAGATTGAACTTTATTTGGAAGATATGCATATAAAATTCAAGCTCTTTGTTAGTGGTTTTAAATATCCTATTCAAGTAATAACTAGCATTAAGTTCCAGGGTTAAAAATATTGCTAATTATTTATAAATGTAGAGGAACAGATTTTCCTCATTTAATATCAACTGTAAAGAAAACAATCATCATAAACATTTAAACATTAAGTTGAGAAAATTATTAAATGTAGCAATAATTCAGCTTAGTGACCAGCTTAGCTTCTTTGGCAGCAGGCTAGTACCAGGAGTTGGTCAGAAGTAGGCAGAGAATATGTTTATGTTCTATACAACTTAGGTTCCACATAAAATAGGAGAAATATGTTGTTTTTTTGTGCTGGACCCAATAATTGGTTGCCCCATTGTGTTTGCTTGTGTTGATAAAGTTATCCCAAATATTAAATGTTCTGTGTTGTTCTGCAGTTTGTTTCAGTGTTGGAAGGAGTGCTGTCTAAGCTGTCAAGGTATGATGAAGGCACTTTCTTCTCATCCATTCTGTCATTCACTGTAAGTATTTGGATAAATTCACTTCAGCATTTTAATGATCCTATTATTTGTTATCCCTAATTTTTAAATTAATTGTCTGTTTCTTTCTTATACAAGGTGAAAGCAGCTGCAAAATATGTTGATGTTCCAGTGAGTAGTACTCCTTTCCTTTCATTTAACTTTTTTTTGAACTCTAGATAATTCCTTTTTATTGTGATTTTGCTTTTATAGAAGGCTCTGTAGGGTTAGATCAAGGATACCTATTTCAATTTCGTAGACTTTTAAATCTTGAAAATAGAGTGGGTTCTATGTTGTCTCCTCCGTTCAACTGGAAGCTCCTTGAGGGCAAGGACTGTCTTTTGCCTCTCTTTGTATTCCCATGTCTTAATATAGTACCTGGCACATAGTAAGTGTTTAATAAATGTTGATTGATTGATGGCAAGCCACTTAACCTTTCAGTACCAAAAAAAAAAAAAAATGTCTGAGATGACTAGCTGCAAAGCATTTGCAGATCTGCATAGGAAGAGGGAGTTTCCTCATGAGGGGTTTCCAAAACTATTAAATCATAGGTATGGACCAAAAAGAAAAGAAAAAAACTAAGTGTCTTGTATGCTTTACTAGAAAACATTGAATTTAGAATCCAAAAGATATGGATTTGAGTCTGCTTCAACTCTTACTACCTGTGTGACCTTGGATAAATCAGGAAACCTCCCTGAACTTGTGAATGGAAAGACTACTCATGTAGCTTGCCTTACAGTGTCATTGTGAAGCTCAAAGGAGATTATGTATGTCAAAGCAAATATTGGTATCCCCAAAGTGAAAAGGTTTGGATATGTCATTTCACTGTTCAAGAAGCACCAGAGTATTTCCCTCTCATCAGTAAGGTAAAATGGGAATTCTTCATTGGGCAAATAAAGCCCTTCACTGTCACACTCCAGCCTTCCTTTCCAGGATAATTCCATATTATTCCATATCACATACTCTGTATCCTAGCCAGATTGTCTTGCTTACTCTTCCATATCCAAGACATTCCATCTCCTAACTCCATGTCTTTGCATATATTATTCCGCTGTGCTTGAAATGAACTCCCTGCTCAAACCCACCTTGTAGAATCCCTACCTTACTGAAAGTTTCAAGTCAAGTGTCACCTAATACAAGTCCTGTTCTGATTCCCCTTCCCTGTCAACACCACCAAGAGATCATTTTGCATATATTTATACTTACTTATCTGTGTTCAGGTTGTTTCCCAACAATGGAATGTAGGCTCCTTGTGGCTAGGGAGTTGTGTGTGTGTCTTCAGGACACAGTCTCGAATACAGGGTGTATTTGGTGCTTAATGAAGGTATCAGGTGCTTAATAAATGCCTGTTGAATAAATGAAAGCATTTTGTAACTACAACCCTATATAAATGAAGGTGATTATTATTCTTTGTATTTCCCCTTCAGAAGTTTTATGAACATGACTTCCACATGGCAGAGGCTCAGTAAAGTACTTGATAGATAAGTAAGAGTGGATGGATAGATAGATACATGTATGGATATCCTATGTAATAAACTTTTCGGTATGAAAATACCAACTTGGGTGGAGATTAGGGCTTGGAAGATGATGAGATAAGAGACTGGAAGAGAAATTCTCTAGTGAAAGGCACAAGGCCCAGAAGTTATTTGTTAGAGAAAAAGAAAAAGAAAACAACTCAGAAATTACAATGATAAAGAAATACTGATACTGTAAAGTAACAAAAAAGTCAAAAGTGTAAAAATTATTCAAATCCAAAACTGTTCTTGGGAGGAAAAACAAATGGGGACCATTGCTCCAGGAAACCTTTAAAATTTTCAGAAATGCCTTATAGGTGCAACATAGTTGAAGACATATAAATTAATTATGGCAGAACATAGCACAAATGCATTTGTTTGCTTATAATTTGCTGTATGTGTTGATGGACAAACTATCCTTGTATTACCTATTTGACTTGTGTAAAGTTAACCGTACTTCCTTTGACAATCTGAAGTTAACAGGACAAAGTCATAGCAGGATATTCCTGGGCAAACCTGACAGATTCTCTTCTAATAGCCCCGTGGACAAGATGATAAAGACACAAGGTAGATGAAAATACTATCAGGTGTGTCAGCTGGTTACACCACCTTCTTCAAAGGCTTTGATTAATGAGCAGCGCAATTATCTATCGGGGTGGTCTTGTCCTAATCAAGGGTGTTATTTTTTTCAATGACTTAGATGAAAACATAGTAGGTCTGCTGATCAGATCTGTAGATGATAACAAATATAGAAGAGATCCTGTGTATGACAGACGGTAAAATCAAAATTCAGCTTTATCTCAAACAAGAACACTAACTAAACCAAGAAGATTATATTTATTAGGGATACATGTGAAATCCTGCCTTAAGTGCAACAGCATAAGGATTTCACAGAGTCAAGATTGGGGAAAACTAATGTGAAAAAAAAGACGTAAAGATTTTATGTAAAAAAAGAAATCAAGATTTTGGTTGACCTCAAATTCCACATGAGCCAGTAAAATCATATGGCTTCTAGGAATGCTAACACAATCTTAGACTACGCTAAAAAGTCACTAGTTCAAATTACAAATGTCCAATGGTACTATGTGCTGGTCAGACCATATCTAGAGTGCTGAAATTCATTCTGGCTACCACATTTTAAGAGAGGCACTAAAATTAGATTGTATTAAAAATATTTATGATAAACATGCTAGTCATCTTCAAATGTTTAAATTGCTGACATGTAGAAGGAGGAGAACTAACTTCTCTAAAATAAAGAACTAGGAGAAAAAAGTGGGAATTATGAAGAGATATATTCTGGTTCATGTAAGAGAGAATGTTTCAATAGCTAGAATCATTGATCTCTCATAAGAGAAACCATTCTAACAATTAGTTTTCTAGCCGTTGAAGATATTGCCGCCTGAGATGGTGAGCTCTCTGTTTATTGAAGGTATTCAAGAAGAGTCTAAAACAGGCTGCTACAGAAGAGACCACTTGCATTAGGTATGAGTTTGGACTATAGGACCATTCAATTCAACAAATATTGATTGATTCCTAATGAATCCAAAGCACTGTGCTATGACAGGTGATGGGATACAAAGATGGTGAATCACAGAGGCCAGACCCTGAAGGAGTCGTACAAGATAGGAAGGGAGAGAATGCACGTACAAGTAATGATAATGCAGTTTAGAACATGAGGACCACTTTGTAAGCCTTGCAAACACTGTAAATGCAAGCTATTTTTATTGAATGCATTAGCAAAGGTCGAGTGAAGAGGCATGAAAGATTCAGGGAAAAAATCCACTTCAGAGTGGTAGTTTCAGGGAAAGCTTCATGGAAAAGAGGGCTCCTGAGCTGGGTCTTGAAGAGAGGAAAGTACTTTTTTATTATTGGTAGTTATAATAGTAATAAATAATAATAGCTAGCATTTGTGCTAGAATATATTGCCTTAAAGTTCACTTTAAGGTCTTTACATAACACTTACTAGCTGCGTAACCCTGGGCAAGTCACTTAACTCCATTGCCTAGCCAAAAAAAAAAAAAAGAAAAAGAAAAAGAAATCTTATAGATTTTATAGTTCCAAGTGCTTTCAAGGATGTGGACTGAGAAAAGGCCCTTACATTTAGTAATTGGATCAGGGTGGACTTGGAGAGAATAATTTCATTAGAGGGGTGGGAACGGAAGCCAAATCTCAGAATGTTGAGAGTTAGTGAGCAGCAATTAAATAGAATTGGCACAAAGAAAAGATTATTCTTCCTTAGAGTGTACCAGGTAAAATAAGGACTGAGAAATCTTAAGGCATTGAAGGGCCATGAATTTGCTTGCTTGCTTGTTTGTTTTAGGAGAGGAGTGATGTTAAAATGTTGCAGGTAGAAGGAGAGCCAATATAAAGGAGAAAAAATTAAAACATGAAAGTATAGAGATGATGAATGGAGCAAGGTCTCAGAGGAGGCATTTGGGAGTGGAGGGAATCCAGGGCCTAAGTGCAAGCATGGAAGGAGCTACCATCTCCTCCTCTGAGACTAGAGGCAAGAAAAGAGAATGGCTAAATAATAATGGCTAATGTTTATATGATGCTTTGACCTTATAGACATCATTTTATTTGTTTCTTGAAACAATACTGTGATGTAGTTACTACAAGTTATTATCCTCATTTTCTGAATAAGAAAGTGGAGGTTCAGAATGGCTGTGACTTGTCCAAAGTCACATAGCTGGTAAATATCAAGGGCAACATTAGAACTCATGTCTCTTTTTGACTTCAAATCCAGGACCTTTTCCATTTATAGCTTGCTACTTCTCTGAAAACATAAAGAAAGTTTTAGTTATAGAGGAGGGGTAATGAAAGAACTCAAGGATGGCTTCAGTCTTTTCAGTAAAATAGGAAGCACAGTCATTTGCAAAAACATCTTTACCCTACAGCATGTCCCACGCAATCAATCCTGTCCATATCATTTCCAGTCCTACCTCTTTCCAATTCCTTCCTCCCCTAGCTTACCTTTCTTCACCTTCTAAATTCCTACTCATTCTTTAAATGCCAATTCCAATGCTCCTTTCTCCAGAAAGTTTTTTCTGATTATCCCCCATTGGTAATGACTTCATTGATAATGAAGCACACATAGCACTTTGTTCTCTATTTATACTTATCATGTTATATGTATATTATAGTTATCTACCTTTGTATCATGTTCCCTTACTCTGTGATCAATGAGGGCAGGGACTATGTCTTATTTAAGTTTTGTCTTTTCCCAATGTTTACTAGCACAGTACTCTGAATAGAGTAGGCCCTTTACAAAGATTTGATGAGTCGAATCAAATTAATTGAAATGAACTTGGGCAACCCTCCTAGTTTCCGTGGCCTTTGCTCCTGAAAAGTGCCTGTGCCCCAAACCTCATGGATGGGAAAATGGTTTTTTTTTTTCCTAGAATAATGCCATCATTACATTATCATCATTATATTATTCTATTTCTATCACCAACACTTAGCACAATGCTTTAGTAAATAGTAAGTGCTTTATAAATGCTTTTTCATTCATTCGTGATTATCATCAAACTCTTACAGAGTACCTAGTTATAGTTGTTGTTTGTTGAGTCTTTTCAGGCATACCAGACTCTTTGTGACCCTATTTGGGCTTTTTTTTTG